TTTTTTTTCTCCGTCTAAGGGTAGGAACGAAACGGAGCTTTTTTTATTTTTCTTTTTGTAATATTAACAGTCGTAGTTACTTTTCCGTAACCTGTAGGTTTAATTCGCATACCGATTTGATATCGTCTCCTAAAAAATCGTGTAAAACTTCTTAATGCTTATGGTTGTCAAAGTTTTTCTTTCTTAAATTTTTAACTTTAATGTTAATAAATTAAGGCTTTTCCATGTTTAATGTATCATTAGCATGTTTTGCAGTATCAGTTATGAAGTCCACTTCTAGGGGTTTCTCCTATATGTTTTCTATATAAAATAAAACAATTGTTTTTTGTGTAACCATTTAGCTGATGATATAACTTCCTGTAAATCGTGCTTTTTGATTTTGCATTAGCAAAAGTTGGTTTCATTTATTGAGTGATTCAAACCATTTACAAAACACTCGAAATCACAACATGAAAATACAATTCAACTGATTATTAAAAAAAAGCGAATGTACAGAATTGATTGCAACACGACGAGGTGTACCATCTGGTAGATTTAGTCGTTCGCCTTGCGTTTTCGTCCTCGAGTACTTTTCTTGGTTGTGGTGACGCTCTTTGGTGAACTGTTTGCAGTATCACCGCTTTTGTTAATAGCTGTTGTTGAAGTATCCTGAAAATATGTTGTTATAGTGTAGATACGTGTTGGTGTGTTCAAAAACTCACAGAGTTCAAAGATTCTAACATTTTTTTACGTAGAGGATTCGTCTCCGGGTTTCTTTCGCGTTTATGGTTGAGATGATGAGTTCTCAGCGTGCTGGCTTTCCAAACATCTGCTTAGACAATAATTAGATAAATGAAAATACTATATACTTAAACCTTCGTTTGTTTTCAGCCATGTGTTGACATAAGCTTCCTTCTCTTTGTCGGTTTTCTTTTGCCTTTTGATGTAAAATGCTTCCCACACCTATATAACATTTCATATGTTTGGTTTCCACAGTAGTTTATACTAACCTTTTCATCCTCTTTTGTCGTTAAGTCAATCGAAAAAAATGAGTCACTCTCAAGAAAAGATTCAAATGAGGACATTCTGTTGTGTTCGAAGTTTAGGTGCTTCAATATGTACGCTAAAAATTCTTTGATTGGAGCTCTTCTGACTTATTACGCGAGACTGAAAATGGGTGGGAAAATGAGAAACGATATATGTGTGATTTATATGACAAAATGAAATTATATAAAGGTAAGATGTAAACGAATGAAAATATATAAAGGTAAGATGTTAATGAAAAATGATGCATGTTGCGACATGACAAAACATTGAAATCGTTCAGCTTACATCATGAAGTTAGCAAGTAGCTATTCTCTAGATACGTTTGCAAAAGAAAAGGTAGGTTTCTAGCACTTTAGTTTAAATAGTCTGTCCCAGGAGGTCAACAAGCTCGTTGATTGCACTCTTGTTTTCGCAGTCTGCCATTTATGACGGTATGTTACGGTAATAACTGAAGCAATTAACAGTTTTTTCAAGTGATTTTGGCCATGATCTATGATTTTTTTTCGTCTGTCTCAAAAGGTCAACAAGTTCGTTGATTGTAGTCTTGTTTTTGAAGTTTGTCATCAATGTTATACAGTAATCAAAGCAATCAACAGTTTTTTCAAATAATTTTGGTCATGATCTACGATTCAAAGTTAATTAGTGTTTACAGTAATGTCTGGAATTAAAGTGCGTCTACAGTGTCTGCAATGAAAGTGCGTTAATGAGAGCAACTTTGCTTAGAGTTTCCAGTTATTGTGCTGGTTGTAATTGTATAAAGTAGTATCGAAATTTTTCCAGTATAAAGTTTAGGCCTCATATTCATTCATTATATATACCTTGCTTTTCTACGGTTTTGCTCTGTTTTGTATTGTTTAAAAAGATTCAAATTTTAGCTATTACAGAAATAATTGGTTCAAATTTGATTCAACGTAAGCCGTTTCGAATTGCGTACATTCACAATTAGTCATGGTAAGTATACTGTTTTGCGAATACTTTACAAATATATTCTTTTATCTGTAGACGTGTTTTTCTTGCTTTTAAGGTTGAAAATAATTAGCAGAAGCAATACTTTCCATGATATAAACGTAATTTATGCTCACATTTGTGTGCTTTTGTGTGATTCTGGAATTAAGCTGTTAAATACTTCGATATATGATTTTTTTTGTCCATATGACAATTTTTCTATAAAGGAGGAATGATGCAATTGTTAAACTGTGGACTTACATACCATAGAATTTCAAATTATTTTTCACAAATAACGTAAGTTACAAAGTAGATTGTCACATAATCAATGCGCTGATAACAATTCACTTCTGAGATCAAAAAGTCTCTTTAACAAAAAAATTTTTCACAATCACTATTTCTCGTCAACTAAGAAAATTCTACTTGGGTTACTATCACGGCTTGTGCAAATATTTCTTCAGTTTATATAGGCGGCATTTGACAAATTTTTAATCATTTATCACGGAAATTGTAGTGATAATTAGCACTTAATATTGTAATTCGTACTTATAGCATCATCTAGCAACATATGTATTTACTTGATGTCACGTCTTAGATAAAGCTGATGATTAATTTCTTACGTTTTTTGTATTGAACAATTGTGACTTTTTTTTGGGTTTGGCGATCTTGCGATGTGTATTAGTGAAGATACGTACAAAAACCTGACTAAGTACGGTTTAATTTTGATTAGAACATCAGCAAGCTAGCTGTTAATTAAGCTGTTAAATACTTCGTTAATTGTCTATAGTGCGTATATAGCACACATTTTTAAAGTCACTGGTAAACCCATGGCAAAACTTTTATCACAAACATTTGAACTCTAAGAACTTGACATCGTTAACTGTTTTTTTTTGTCTGGTTTTTTTTTGCTCATAGTGTGTATTTCGATGGTTTAGCGATACTTCGTACACAAACCAACACCAGAAAGTGAATAGTTTATTAATTGTACAGCGATTAACTCAAATTTGAGTATAAACCCGGGTTTTATTGTACAAAGATTAGAGCAAGATTCGCAGATCCCCGCGCAGTCTTTCGAGTCTGGCTTCTGCGGATCGGAGAGCTTCTCGTGCGCGTTGTAAGCGTCTCCACATAACGACATCGCTTCGATCCGGCAGTTCGCATATTGCAGAGTGGTGTCCATAGGCGCGGCAGTGATAGCACGGATTTGCCCATCTCCTGCACCTCCTGTCCCCAGGGCATGCGATACGAAGAACCGCGAAACACGTGTGGCAGCGTCTCTCCGAGTCCAAAATCTGCCTTCTTGATTCTCCATCTCTCACCTGAGGACAGGAGTCCGATTGATGTTGTCCGTCGGCGTTACAGAAGGCACAGTGTAAACGTCCTCCATTTTCGCGGCGCATGGCTCCGTGTTGGATGCGTCGAGGAGCGCATATTGGACGCTCTCTTAGATCGGCAATGAGCATGCGCAAATCATTTATTGCCTGTTGCGTCTGGAGAGATTGAAGGTTGATCTCTCTTATTCTTCTCGCGTTCTCGTCTTCGTCTTCTACGAGGTTAAGTTGATTGTTTACGTTCTCGTTGTCCATGTCTAAATTCTAATATATAAAAAATCACAA